ATGCAAGAAAATTCAAAAAGAGCGGTTTTAGCCATATTACTGGCGTTTTCATTAAAAAAAGAAACAAAGAGGAAGTATTGGAGTCGAAGATGGTACCTGGAGCGGCATAGGTACACTCATTTGAGATTATTGGATTCGATTCGACTTTGCAAGGAATTAAGCGACTACGAAAATTACTTTCGGATCTCCACTGAAAGTTTCGACCATATTCTTGAATTAATCAGCCCATATATAACTAAGCAAGATACAGTTATGAGAGCTGCAATTTCGCCAAAAGAAAAACTGGCGGTGACTTTGCATTATTTAGCAACAGGAAAGTATGTACCCAAATTATTGTGATTATTTTACAGCTACTTTAAGCAGGTGCGGTATACAGCGATTATGTCGCGGCAAGCAATAAGCGAAGCGATCATGGATACATGTGAAGCTTTGATATACGCTCTTCGAAACTGCATTAAAGTAAGTGTACTAAATGATACACATGTACATATGGTATTTTGTTATAATTTATTCAGAAAACTGTGCAAATAAATACATATGATTTATGTAATAATTTTAGTTGCCAGGGAATGAAGAAAAAAGAGATCTTAGTGAGTATTCCTCTGTGCTTTGTATTTCTTCAGTGGCACCTACTTCAGTATTGTATATTAGCATTGCTTGGCCACTTGGAGGCAATTGCGAGGAAAAACTAGATTGCGAAGATAGAATAGGAGACGGAGTATGTGGGTAGTTAGGTGTTATATATTCACTCTGCAGAGGCATTCCAAAATTGGAGTCTGGTGAAGGTGTTGGCGGTGGTACATAAATAGGTGGCGGTCTTTGGACTCGAATAGCTTTAATATCTGGTTGCGGTGATGATTCAGAGAAACGTGGTAATGGTGGTAATTGATTATACATTGTGGGTTCTGGTGTCGGAGCTGATGACACATCCATGTTGCAAGCGTCTGGATATACAATTATTTTAACAGAGTTACGTCTCAAGTTACCCAGTTCTGCTTCAAATAAAGTATCATTAATTCCTTTTTCAGCTAGCATACGCTGCGTTGGATTTAGATGCTCTAATTTTTCACTCCAGTATAATGCCGTTGCGTTTATGTTTGTAGAACTTTGGGGTGCAGACAATAGGGAACATGCCTTTTCAATTAGCTCGTTTTGTTTACCCACTGCACATTTTGTTTTGTTTTTCCGAGGAGGAGCCAACTCGCTAATAGATGAAAAGGAAGTGTTAGATAAGTCCTCTCTATTTGTCTGCTCCTCAACTTGCACCAATTCGTCCACATTATGCGATTCTACCTGGTTCTGAAAGAAAGAAAATTATTGTTAATTAATAAAATGGATTTTAATTCTTTACATTTATGCCCGTTTGCACCAATCAATTTTAAAATTATCAGCCTGTTAAAATTTAAAATGATAAAATGTAGTTCGGAAAATTTGTCATTTTAAATTTTAACGGTCTGATAAATTTTAAAATTGATTGGTGAAACTGAGAGTTAATTTTATATTTTATTTATAAAGCGGATTTCAAATTTCTTTTTTTAGATGCCTAGTACAGCGGAAGAGTGGAGAAGTGTTTCTGATGAATTTCGTGTATTACCTAATTTTTATAACTGCATCGGCGCAGTTGACGGGAAACACGTAAAAATAAAGCGTCCAAATGGTTCGGGAGCGCTATATTATAACTATAAAGGAACATACAGTAGCGTTCTTATGGCTATTGCGAATGCTAAAAAGGATTGGATGCAATGGACGCGTGTCTGATGGTGGTGTCTTGTTTTACACTAAATTCTGGGAGCGTTTGCAACAAAATCGTTTAAATATACCGGAATGGACACCATTGCCAAACACCTCGGAATCATTCCCATATGTTTTTATAGGAGACGAAGCTTTCGCGCTAGGCCCTAACTTTATGTAGCCTTATCCTCAAAAAAGAGTATCACAAGAAGAGCAATTGTTTAAGAAACGGTTATCGAAGGCTAGATGTGTCATTGAGTGTGCGTTTGGTATCCTCGCCAATAAATTTGGAGTTTTCCAGAAAGCCATAAGTCTCAGCCCGCAGAAAGCCGCAAAAGTGACAGCAGCTTGTTGTTATCTGCACAATTATTTAATGACAAAAGATTCTAATTATCAGGCACCAAATTCCAATGAGTATAATTTTCAATTAGCCACCGTACAAAGCAGTTCGGCGCGAAATTCAACAAGATGTGCCAAAACTATAAGAGACAAATTTTGCAAATATTATAATGACGAATATAGATGCTAACTTTTGCCACTCAATTTTTATCACTTATGTATATGAAAAAAAAAATAATAAAAGTTTTCACTTAAAACAACAGACAATCTACATACTACTTTCTTTTCTTTCCACCTTTATAGCTAGGTATTCACTAGAGTATGAGTAGAATTCAAGGAAATCTTTAAAACAAATTTACTTACCAGGTCAACAGGCTTCACATTTTTATTTAAAAAG